CTCATCTATCCCATCTGCCTGTCTGTCCATCCACCCACCTATCCATCCATCCATCCATCCATCCATCCATCCATCCATCCATCATCTATGCATTCTACCTACTCACCTATCTACCTACTATCTACTCAGTCATTCAGCCATCTACCCACCCACCATCCATTCATTCATACACCAATCCACCCATCCATACTTTATACCCCTGCTCCAATCCAGAAGCAAAGCTATTGAGTGCATATGTTGTGAGGGTGGCCCATGAGAACTACACATAGATTGCTGTCCTTGAGATGCTCATAACAGAAACTGTCACAGAGTATGACCAGGGTGGTGAGGACAGTGGTCTCTATGAGTGTGAGAACTGAACCAAGTTTTGAGGGGAGAAGAGAAAAATTGCCCCAGAATGGCTCGACTCTTGAAAGGTTGACCTGCCTGATAGATGGGGGCGGGGAGCAGTGGCCTCCAGCAGCCTGTCCTGTATGTGCCTGCCCAGTGGGACCTACTGACTTGACCAGCCCCTCTACTGCTTCTTATCTCAGCCTTCACACCTTGCTTGGAGCTGACTTCCTTTCAGGGAACTCAGGTAAGGGACTGTGTGGCCAGGTCTGTCTGTTCCTAGTCTTCTCAAGCCTTTGAAGGTGCAGGTGGGGGACCCATTTGCCGTCTTTGAGCTTGCCTTTCTCATGTTTCAGGGGAGGGCCTGCAGAGACGGCTGTGTGACAGAGGCTTGGCTGCCTGGGCCTTAGGCCCAGGACTTGCTGCTTCGTCCCTCTGTGGCTGGGGCTGGGGTCTCTTTTAGGAATCCAGAAGGTCTGAGAACTGTGGCTTTTCTGGGAGTACCCTCTGTCTGCTTACCATGGCAAGATACAAGCTTCCCATCTCAATTAAGTCCAGCTGTCTGGGGCTTGGTAGCTTGGTGTTGGATGCTTGGCTAGGACGGCAAGAGGCAGAGGCAGTGGTCAGCATAGGTGTTAAGCAGCCTTGTCTCCTGTGCCGAGTGAGACTGTTGTACCAACCGAGACACAAGATCCTCAGTCGTTCAGGTTCTGTTTCTGTAACAGGTGTTAGTAATCAAGCGGACTACAGAGCATCCTGGGGAATGACCTGAGACCACACATGTGGCTGACACAGTAAACGTCAGTGAAGTCACATTGAGGTCAAAACGGGGTAGGGATGGAGAAGAGCTGTCTGGGGTAGGTTCATAAAGCTGCAGTATGGATGGATGGATGGCTGCCTCCCACCCTGAGTGAGGAGGGGTTATTCAAGTTGCATCAGCCAGGGTTCTCCAGGGAAACCGAAGCAGCAGAGGGTGTGTAAGCACACACAGGGGATGTGTAAATGCATACATATAGACCCTGTGCCTTAGGGTTTCTAGTGCTTCAATGAAACACCATGACTAAAAGCAAGTTGGGGAAGAAGGGCTTATTAGGCTTACACTTCAGCGCATTGCTGTTCATCATTGGAAATCAGAGCAGGAACTCAAACAGGGCAGGATCCTGGAGGCAGGAGCTGATGCAGAGGCCATGGAGGGGTGCTGCTGACTGGCTTGCTTCCCCTGGTTTGCTTAGCCTGCTTTCTTATAGAACCCAGGACCACCAGCCCAGGGATGGCACCACTCACCATGGGCTGGGCCCTCCCGCATTGACCACTAATTGAGAAAATGCCTTACAGCTGGATCTCACGGAGGCATTTCCTCAACTGAGGCTCCTTCCTCTCTGATTACTCTAGCTTGTGTCAAGTTGACACACAAAACCATCCAGGACTGGCTGCAAGTCTGAAACCTGCAGGGAAGTCAGCAAATGGGAGACCCAAAGCAGAGCTGGAGGTAGACTCCTCTCTGCCTCGTAGACCTCAGTATCTTTTTACAAGATCTCACTACCCATTCCGGGGAGGACCATCTGCTCCCACCTGAAAACTACCTTCATGGCAACATCAAAACTAGTGTCTGACCAAACATGGGGTGTTAAGACTCAGCCAAGTTGATAGACAACAGAAACCACTGCAGGAGGCCACTGAGACTGGGAGTGGGGCTTGGAGGATCCCCATTTGGGGGTGGACTCCCTCTTCATCTCTCATCTTGTCCTTTCTTCTGCCTCTCTCTCCCTTCTCCTCCTGCAGCCCTCCTCCCCTCCCCTCCAGCTTCCGGGTGAGTCAGTGTGTGGACAGATAGAGTGGAACATTCACGTTAAGAGCCTGTGACGTCTTTGCTGCCTCCTCCCTGCAGTCAAGGCTGTAAATTCTATGCAATCCCCAGGAACAGTGTCTTGTCCAGGTAAACACTGCAGGGCGTGGGGGCAGCAGAAGAAGGTCCAGCGCGCCTGGGACCCTGTCCACTGTCAGTTTCAGTTCTGGTCTAACTCAAGGACTGGGAAGGCATTCAGCTCCCTGGCAGGGTCCACCTGGGATTGGGCGGGGCTGTCATTCTCACCTTGGTCACCACATCCTTGTCGCAGACAGTGGCACTGCCCAGCAGCTTCTTCAAAGTATTGACGTCTCCTCTCCTTCATCCTAGTCTTCATGCCCTGGGGAAAAGCTACAAGGAGGTGGGGGAGGGGCCTCTGGGGCCAAGAGTGGGAAACTGAGCTTCAAGGCCTGTGGCAGCTGCCCATCAGACCTCCGTATAGAGGAGGGATTGACCAGGTGGATAAAGTCATCGTCTTTGTGTTGGCCACATTCAGTGTGGTCTGGGAATCTGTCTAAATGTGTGTTGGCCTCTGTGTGGCCACTCAGTGCCTTCCAGTTCATGTTTATCTTGTTACGGAGCCTTGGCCCCCAACCTAGGCTGTCCTCATCCTCATCCTTCACCACCAGAGTTGGTAGCTGATAAGCAGGCAATGAAACCATTCACAGCCGACAAAGCCCTCACGGCCATTTGCCCCTGCCTTAGCTCCCTAGACCACTGTGCCCAGCAATGTGCTCGGCTGTCTGACATCAAAGCTCACATAAGTCACTTGAGATCCTGTAATGGACCAAGAGGTCTGTTAGTGTCAGGTCACTCAGCTTGGGTTCATCACCACTGCTCCATCCAATGGGAACACAGTGTTGACCTTTTCTACCCAGGGTGATTCCAGCTCCTCCTCCCAGGGAGGACCTACTTCCTCCATCTAGGGAGGACTTACTTCTTCCAGATGCTCAGAGCTCAGCTAGAGGTCGGTGCTGGGATCATGAGTCTGGCCGGGATTCCTCTGACTCCCCCTATAGCAGAGAGAGCCTGGCATGGAAAACCACAGGTTCTTGGGGCCTGGTCCATCCTTGGATTTCCCCAGGGCATGGTGCCAGCCTGAGGGGCCCACATAGGGAAGTCAAACAATGGTTTCCTTGGCCCAGCTGGTTCTAGTTCCATAATCCCTGTTTTTTGGGCTCAGGCTACACTCAGGTTCTCCCACGTGCCTGAGCTGCAGTAGGGAGGAGAGACCAAAGCTCGAGCTGGTGGGCACAGTGAGATGGGAAGAGTGGCTTCCACCATGTCCTGGCTGCTGGTCACTCTTATCTTGGATGTCTTTGTAGGGCATAGACCCCTTTCAGATTCTAACTGGGATGGTGTGGAGGGCCTGAGGTCTAAGGGGGTGGCGTCAGAGGACAGCAGTACTGTTTCTTTAGCCCAGGATGTGGTTTCTGTGCAGCGCCTAGAAGGGCAGCATGGTAGCCTAGGAAAGGAAATGCCATTCCCCATTTAGGGAGTCTGTGACCACTCAATGTGTTTTTTCCTCATTCACCTCTGGAACTTGGAGACTAAATTGGAGCCTGAGGTACCTTGTGACCAAATTTACAAGCCAAAGTCAGGACCTGTCCTTGTTCTCAGGAAGAGGAAAACATGGGGGAGGGGGTTCCCTAGGTCTCAGTTTACACTCCAGCTACAGCATGGGGTAGCTGGCTACCTGTGCCTCTCCATCTTTGTGTGGCCCTTGGGAACCAGTATCTCATAGGCTCTTGTTTGCGGCTTTTACCAGCTCGGATGCTGCATCCTGATTTCCGGAGCCTTTTCCAGACATTGGTGAGGCAGCCACAGCTTTGGGTTAAGCTCAAGGGGACTGAGGATCACTGCTCTTATGGAGACAGGATCACATCCTTTGAGTAACAGCTGTGGCTAGGAAACAGGACAGGCTGCCCGAGCTTTAGGAGAAGGGGTAGCCTCAGGAGACTCTGCAGGAACAGGGCCCGCTGGGTTTGGGGCTCACCGCTCTACTTAGACCCCGTTCTCACAGAGTGGCCACTCCAGGCCTCCAGCTACTTCCTCTTGCATCAGGGGACACGATTCCAATAAGAGTGGTTGCCTGGGCTGAGGGCTGCCCGAGTTCTAATTACATGTAATTCCAGAGACTGGCAGAGCCTGGGAAAACAAGGGGATTAGAGTGGACTTAGCTGGGCTCTGTAGGTACAGCAGGCTCTACAGAAACAGGGGCCCCCAGAGGCCCCCACTGCTCCTTGCCTCCTGGAGGTGGATCACGAACTGGGGTCAGATGCCCCCTCCCGAACTTGTCCCCCCCAGGTGACATGAACTGAGGTGTTGCAGGAGTCAGAGTTGTCTCAGCCCACACTGCTCATGGAGAAATAGAATGGAGAAGTTGGCAGACACCCGGAAGCTCCTTCTTCTACCTGGACCGTGTTGGAGGTTGCCGGGCTGGGTCTGGGGGCATTTAGAGGGGAATGGCAGAGCTCATGGGACGTAATTCCAGCAGGGACCTCCTGCCTCTCCCAACCTGAGATTGCCCTGGCTTGAAACTTGAAGGAATGGAGTTCACCTGGGGTGTGTGCTGGCACTGGGATAATTGAGGCTGTGACATCCTGAGGAAGGCCAAGTTTACCCAGGGAGTCATATAAAGATAAACTCAGATAACCTGAATCAATATTTCCTCACTGGGGACCCATGGAGCCCCTACAGCTGTTTTCCTGATAACTCGGCAAATGCCCCACCCACCCTTTGCACCTCCCTTGTCCTCCCGCCCTCAGATGCCTGCTGGGCATATAAGTCCTGGACCCCTGCCCTGGGATGCTCTCCTGTGCCACCCTCCTGAGCCACCATGGGGCTGCCACTAGCTCGCCTGGTGGCTGTGTGCCTAGTCCTGGCTTTAGCCAGGGCCTCGGAGCTCCAAAGAGGTAAGGGGCTGGGTGATCTGGGCAAGAGACTAGACAGAGCACCCCGAGGGTGGGGAGGCTAGGAAGCCCAGAGCAGTTAGTAAGGGATGCCTGGTATAGGAGGGGGTCCCCAGTCAGCCACTCCAGTTGGACTGGGGTCTTAGGTCTCTCACCATTATTCTGAGGTTGAAAGCTGAGGGTCCTGTACCAGGTGGATGAGAAGCTGGAATCCCTTGAGTGACCATTGTCCATGGGAGTGGGGGGAAGCTTTGCATGTCTAGGAGAAGCCAAATTTAGGACAGTTCCGGATACGAGGGACCTTCGGCAAGGTAGTGCCTCTGGAGAATGGGCTGCGCGTCCACATGGGAAACTTCTGTCCCATCAGGACAAAGCTATGGATGGGGGATGTCCCAGTGGGGACTCTTGAAGACTGAGGGACGCAGCCCAGCCTCTTGCTGGGTGAGGGGTGGCTAGAGGGGGGCTGACTGGAGAATCAGCATCGGTTGAGGGGGGTTGGGCAGTGACAAGTAGATGTACTCTGGCCAGGCGGGCAGAGCGACCAGATTGCCTGAAGACCCTCGGCCTTACTCCCTGCTTGCATTCCACGCTAGCTAGTGCTTGTCTGAGAGTCTCTGCAGAAGGGTGACTAATATTTAGCAGAGACTGCTTATGGAGGGGGTACCATCTCGGCCAGAAACCTTGGTCTGGAGCCCCAGATGGTACCCTTGGAGGGACCTCTGGGGTTAACTTGGAGAATGGGCTCGGGGAAGGCCTCCTGAGACGTGGGTGTCTCACCTTGTGTCCCCACTGCTCTCCCAGAAGCCAGAACCCGAAACCATGTCTGCAGCACCTGGGGCGACTTCCACTACAAAACCTTTGACGGTGATGTCTTTCGATTCCCCGGCCTCTGTGATTACAACTTTGCTTCCGACTGTCGAGACTCCTACAAGGAATTTGCTGTGCACCTGAAGCGGGGCTTGGACCCGGCTGGGGGTCACCCCCGGATAGAGTCCATCCTAATTACCATTAAGGACGACACCATCTACCTCACCCACAAGCTGGCAGTGGTGAATGGGGCCATGTGAGTGGGATTAATATCTGCCTCCCATGTCCCAGCAGCCAGGGGGAGGCTTCTGGCTCCTCGGAGCAAGTTTGCCCCTGAACATTTTGTATAAACTAGCCAGCCTCCAGGATACCCTCTCCTGTTCTGGCACAGGGCTAATAGGAGTGCTTTGAGGTTTGAGCTAGGCCATAGATTCACTCAACAAACACTGATGAGTCCCCTCTGTAGACCAGGGGTCTTAGGTAACATGTGAGTCCCTTGCGGACTTCCCCTGGGGGGCCATGTGGGATAGAAGAGTGGCTGCCAGAGCTACAGGTCCCCCAGGCTAAGGTTGCAGAAGCTCAGAAGGGAGAGGCTGCTCGCCCAGCCCCATTGTTCCCTGGCATTGTCTCAGTAACAATGCCCCCTCTTAAATGCATTCCTGTCTTGCAGGTTCACCCCACTGGGGATTTGCTCTTTTCCTGTTTCAGGGGTGTCTGTGTCCTGCATGGGGCTCTCCCAGTGTTCCCTTCCCTTGCCTGGTCTGCTAGCAGGACCATGCTGTCATGAGTGGGTTGGGTATGGCAGAGGTCCCTAGGGATAGAAGCTCAGGGGCTGAGGTGTGGCAGCTCCAGGCCAGTACAGGAGTAGGATGGGGTCCTGGTATAAGGACAGCTCTGGGTCATGGTCTGGGCAGAGGTTGAGTGTCCCACCCTGGCAGATTTTATGAGCAAATACCTCTGAACAAAGGGCCTGGAGAGGGTTGGGGACTCAGTCCCCAACATATCCCAGACCCACTGCCTTTAGGGCTCCTTAGAAGGGCCTCTGTCCTGGACTCAAGAGGGTGTGGGAAGGAAAATAGACAGAAGGGCCTGGCCCTGCCCCAAGGAAATCCACCTAGCCCAGGACAAGGGCTCTCTGACCATTGCCCAGGCCTCTGCCCAGCTCTCTGGCCTCCTCCTGGAGCTTGGCTAAGTCTGCTTGCGGCCCCAGATGAGAACATACTGACCAAGTAAGGAGCCAGGCTGTCTTCACCCAGATAATGCCCTCAGCACCATGTGGACAGCAGAACCCTCAGGAAGACAAGTGGGTGGGTTCTGAGATGCTGGGTTGGCGAGTGACCCCACAGTGGTCCCCACAGGGTCAGCACCCCGCACTACAGCTCCGGGCTCCTCATTGAGAAGAATGATGCCTACACCAAGATCTACTCCCGTGCTGGCCTCTCCCTCATGTGGAACCGGGAAGACGCACTCATGGTGGGCGCCAGCATCCTGGGTTCTGAGGTGGCGGGGCTCCTTTATCTGGCCAAAGGCCTGGTGGATCCATAGAAGGGCAGGATTGGGGGATCCACACCTCACAGTTGGAGTAGGATCCTTTGTGGTGGAGAAGGCTGCTGGAGACAGTGATTGGTACTAGGGTCTCCATTGGTCTGGCCTGGGAGGGGCTCTCTGTGCAGTGAATGATCTGTCTCCCAGACTGCATTTTGGGACCCCACCCTGAAGGACTCTTCCTGGTGGATGATTCCTGCCCTCCTCCTGCCCGGCCTTCTTGGAGAAGCTGCCTAGACGTAGGGGCTCTGGAAGCTGTGCTGGGTCCCGAGGTCTGCTCACCTGCCCTCCCTTCCCTCTCAACAGCTAGAGCTGGACAGCCGGTTCCAGAACCACACCTGTGGCCTCTGCGGGGACTTCAATGGCATGCAAACCTATAATGAGTTCCTCAGTGAAGGTGAGTGGTAAGCTGGGCTTGTTGAGAGGAAGACAGGGGCGTGGCTGCAGGCTCCTGGCTCCCGAGGACCACTGCTGACCAGCTGCATTCCTAGGCATACAATACAGTGCCATTGAGTTTGGGAACATGCAGAAGATCAACAAGCCTGAGGTTGAATGTGAGGACCCCGCGGTGGAGCAAGAGCCAGAGGCCTGCTCTGAGCACGTGAGTCACTGCTGGGGAACCCCAGGCTCTCAGGAAACCTGCACTTGCTGGCCTTTGTTGGGAATCCCTAGGCTCTAAGGGGAGGTGTGAACAGGGGTTCATGTCCATGTCTTTCTCTTCAGCGAGCTGAGTGTGAGAGGCTGCTGACCTCCACAGCCTTCGAGGACTGCCAGGCCCGGGTGCCCGTGGAGTTGTATGTGCGCGCCTGCATGCAGGACCGCTGCCAGTGTCCTCAGGGTGGCGCCTGCGAGTGCAGCACCCTTGCTGAGTTCTCCCGCCAGTGCTCCCACGCAGGCGGCCGACCTGAGAACTGGAGGACTGCCTCACTCTGCCGTAAGTAGCTGGCGACCCCTGCGGTACCCTGGGGCCACTCACATGGTGCTCAGTGTCAGTGTCCCTGGGTTTAAGGAGACCCCGTGGGAGCTGTGTCTGTGCCAAACACCCAGGCACTATCTGCCAGTGGCCTTGACCCTCTGTTAGCTCCTTATTTGTGGATTGATGGAGCTGACTTTGCTTCTAGCCAAGAAGTGCCCTGGTAACATGGTGTACCTGGAGAGCAGCTCTCCCTGCGTGGATACCTGCTCACATCTGGAGGTCAGCAGCTTGTGCGAGGAGCACTACATGGATGGCTGTTTCTGCCCAGAAGGTACATGCTCTGGAAGATCCTTGTCCCGGAGACTGGGTGGGGAGCAGGCAGGGAGGGGTGGGAGAACCCTGAGGGCGGGTGGGACTCTCCCAAGAACCCTAAGGGCTGGGAGATGAACATCTCCATTGACAGAACAGGGGTCCTGATGTCTGTGGGTGGAGGTTTGGCTGGCAGACTCTCCTTGGGGGAAACTGGCCCTTCCTAAGGCTTCCGGGGTAAGTTTACATCTCTGGCTACCACAGGCACTGTATATGATGACATCACGGGCAGTGGCTGTGTCCCTGTGAGCCAGTGCCACTGCAAGCTGCATGGGCACCTCTATATGCCAGGCCAGGAGATTACCAATGACTGTGAGCAGTGGTAAGTCTCAGAGCATAGAGCTTGGGGGTCAGACAGGCTGGGGTGTCACTGAGTCTTTACCTTGTGGCCCTGCTTCCCGGCAGTGTCTGCAATGCTGGTCGCTGGGTGTGTGAAGACCTGCCTTGTCCTGAGACCTGTGCCCTGGAAGGTGGCTCCCACATCACCACCTTTGATGGAAAAAAGTTTACTTTTCACGGGGACTGCTACTATGTCCTGACCAAGGTAGGCAGGCCAGTCTACCTGGATGGAGCTGGGGGCCCTCTGTCTTCTGGGAAAGGAGGACAGACAGGTTCTGGAGAAGGCTGTCCCTGGGGTGGTGGGTGGTGCTGCTCTTAGAAACAGGATGAGAAGTCGTGGGTCTAGGCTGCAGGAGGCTGCCAGATCCTCAGTGATTGTACCTCCCTTCCCCATTCAGGGCAGCCACAATGACTCCTATGCCCTCCTGGGTGAGCTGGCCCCCTGCGGCTCTACAGACAAGCAGACCTGCCTGAAGACTGTGGTGCTGCTGACTGACAACAAGAAGAACGTGAGTCAGTCCTCTCTCCCTTCCCAGCATGCCTGGGTCCTGCACGCCGGCCCTCTCCGCTCTATGCACCCGTGACATTTCTTGCAGGTGGTGGCCTTCAAATCAGGTGGCAGCGTGTTACTCAACGAGCTGGAGGTGACCCTGCCCCATGTGGCAGGTGAGTGGCTCAGGGAGGGGTCCTGAACTGCTGTGGGGCAACAGAGCCAGCTGGGCTTTGGACAGCCTAGGAGGCTGGGCCTCCGGCAGGCTCTATCCTTGGGTCCCTGCTGGTGGTAGGGGGATGGGATGGTGGGCATGCCACCCTACAGTAAGGTGGAACCCAGGAGCCCTGCTGCCTTTCACCGTGGTCTTGTTTTGCAGCGAGCTTCTCCATCTTCCAACCCTCCTCCTACCACATTGTTGTGAACACGGTGTTCGGGCTGCGGCTACAGGTTCAGCTGGTCCCAGTCATGCAGCTTTTTGTGACTCTGGACCAGGCTGCCCAGGGACAGGTACAGGGTGAGTGGTCCCTTCTGTCTTGTCCCTGAAAAAGCCCCATGAGGGTCCTGCTGCCCCCAAGACTCCACCCTTCAACCCCCATCCTTCCTAATCCTGTCCTGGCCCTTTAGGTCTCTGTGGGAACTTCAACGGCCTGGAAAGTGATGACTTCATGACGTCTGGTGGGCTGGTGGAGGCCACGGGTGCCGGCTTTGCCAACACCTGGAAGGCCCAATCAAGCTGCCATGACAAGCTAGACTGGCTAGACGACCCCTGTTCCCTCAACATTGAGAGCGGTGAGGCTCAGGGGAAGCTGGCCGCCGTCCACCGGTTTGTCTAGGACACACAGTCCTGGCCAGTACCGCCTCAGAGCAGATGGGGCTTCTGATGAGGACACAGTGTGTGGGTAGAGGGGTGGGTGGAGGTCACATGGCCCATGGTGCTGGGGAACTGCACATCCACCTGCTGTTCGACTAGTTTGTAGTGGCCCCATGGTGGCAGCTTTCCAAATGACAAAGTAGATGGGTTGGTCAGTCTACCTGCTGGGCGGTGGCTGTCATCCAGGCCTGGCCTAGTGCTAGGACGACATGCCCTCCTACACACTTCTCGATCATATTTGAAGATTTCTAGCCCTGTGGGGTTGAGAAAGGGAGGTGGTGGGTGTCAGGTAAAAAGGTCTCATTTTGCTCATAGCTGCCTGGACTTATGACGGGAGGGAGGAAGGGACCTGGCTTTGGTCACACAGGAGACCATGTCACCTCCATCCTGGGTGATCAGAATTTTAGGCTCAGGGTATGTGAAGGGAGCCTGGCCATGCTAAGGTTCTGACCCACTCCCCCAGCCAATTATGCTGAGCACTGGTGTTCCCTGCTGAAGAGGTCGGAGACGCCTTTTGCCAGGTGCCACTTGGCTGTGGATCCCACTGAATACTACAAGGTGAGGTCATCCCCCAACCTTACATACTCAATGCTGCATGCAGCGTCCCCAGAGCCAGCAAAGTGTGCTCGGGCCACCTGGCTGAGCCTGGGAGTGGCTGGGTATGCGTGTGTGCCTGAGTGGTGGTATGTGTGCGCACGTGTGTGTGTTCACTTGAGTGCACAGGGTGCTGGGTCCACGCGCCTGGCCTCCTCACCTCACTGGTCCTTTGTTCGCCTTCTAGAGGTGCAAATACGACACGTGCAACTGTCAGAACAACGAGGACTGCATGTGTGCGGCTCTGTCTTCCTATGCCCGTGCCTGTGCTGCCAAGGGTGTCATGCTGTGGGGCTGGCGTGAGCGCGTCTGCAGTGAGTGCTTCCCCACTGGCTGCTTCCTAGGATGGCGATCCAGCTCTCCATGGGCTGGGGCTGGGAGTCCTGAGAATAGTCAGTCCAGAGAGAGAGGGGCCAGCTCCTTGTAGCTGCCTCCCAGCGTCTGCCAGAAGCAGCAGATTTACCTGACCTTTTAGGCTCTGCCTGCAGCGTGGAGCAGAATTCTGCAGAGATGGGCTATGGGATGGCCACAGCTGTGGCAGCTGAGTTCAGGAGCCTGGGAGGGGTTCCCAGGGTGGCTGCCCTCCATCTGTGGTCCTGGTGGAGGGAGAAGCTCAGGGACAGCCGACAGGGACAGTAGTTGGAGTCCAGTGCCATTGCCCCTCACTCCTGTGGTTTCCTCCGCAGACAAAGACCTGCATGCTTGCCCCAGCTCACAGATCTTCTTGTACAACCTGACCACTTGCCAGCAGACCTGCCGCTCGCTCTCAGAGGGTGACACCCACTGCCTCAAGGGATTTGCACCTGTGGAAGGCTGTGGCTGCCCTGACCATACCTTCATGGATGAGAAGGGCCGCTGTGTGCCCTTGGCTAAGTGTTCCTGCTACCACCATGGTCTTTACCTGGAGGCAGGAGATGTGATCCTGAGGCAAGAGGAGCGCTGGTGAGTGCCCTGGACTCAGCAAGGGGCCCAGAGAGTCGGGGAGGGGGCTGCTCTTGAATCTCTACCCCAAGTGCAAAAATGAGAGATTCTAAGTGGGACCTCCTGAGGCTCTCAAATGGCGCAGAGGTGCCCGGGGTGAGAATCTGAGAGTGGCCTGGTTGGCATATGTCCTGTGTGGGACAGACCTGGACCCTAATCATCCTGTCCCACTTCCCTCTCATAGCATTTGCCGGAACGGGAGGCTGCAGTGCACCCAGGTCAAACTGATCGGCCACAGTAAGTTTTACGGATGCTGCCCATGTATGGCCGCCAGTCGTTGGAGTCTTGTTTCTCTTCCCTTCTTACCTGGTACCCTACATTCATCTTGAGCTAAGACAGACTTCTTGACCCCACAGGCTGTCAGGCCCCCAAAATCCTTGTGGATTGCAACAATTTGACTGCTCTGGCCACCCGGAAACCCCGCCCCACCAGCTGCCAGACACTGGTGGCTGGTTATGTGAGTGCCAGGGAGGGCTGCTGTGGCTGGGCTGGTTGGGGGCATGCTGGATGCCTGAGTCCATTGTGTGGACTAGGGCAGACTCTCACGCTGCCAGTTCACTGGGCTGGGGCCCGACTCTTATAAACACCTGGGTCTGTGGATACTCCCTGTGACCCTGGGGGAGAAGTGGCAGCCTACGGCAATGCGGAAGTCAGTCTAGGGGCCTTGATCAGCAACCCTACCTGGTCTCCCTGACCAGGATGAGCTTGAAGGGAGGGGTTTTAGGAGAGAGGAGAAGGAGTTGGGGGTCCAGGACACTGTTAGATCTTCTCGTGTGGGCACTTGACCCCTCAAAGGAGGGCCTGGGCCTCATTTGAGCCCGTCTTCTTATTCCAGTACCATACAGAGTGCATCAGTGGCTGTGTGTGTCCCGATGGGCAGCTGGATGATGGCCGTGGTGGCTGTGTGGAGGAGGAGGAGTGTCCTTGCATCCATAACAAAGACCTATACAATCCTGGGGAGAGAATCAAACTGGACTGTAACAACACCTGGTGAGCTGGCCCAGTCAGGCTGCATTGGAGGGGCTGGGCTGGTTTTGTGGGGATACAAGAAGGTCCCCACTCTGTTGACAGAGCAAGTCTTGTGTCTGCCCTTTGCCCTAGAGGTCACTTTCAGGCCAGTATAGGTGCTTATAGATTTCCTATATGGGCTGCCTCAGGAGCTATTGCCATGGTGTCCAGGACCTTGCCTCGGTTGCTCTCCGAGGGTGGGAGTCTTGGCCTCAGGCCTCATCAGCCTCCTCTACCTTTCTCCTCAGTACTTGCCAGAAAGGACGCTGGGAGTGTACCCGGTATGCATGCCACAGCACCTGCTCTATCTATGGCAGTGGCCACTACATCACCTTCGATGGAAAGCACTATGACTTTGACGGACACTGCTCCTATGTGGCTGTCCAGGTGCGACTGTGAACCTCTCCAGGAAGGGGTCTGCCCTGAGATATGGAAGAGGGTCCTTGAGGTGGGAAGGGCTAACCCTTCCTCACCCTGGAAACCATATTGCTAGGATCTGGGCTCCCAGCAATGAATAGAGAGGATGTGGTAAACGCTCTCCTCCCTCCAGTGCCCTACCCATGCATGGGGATGGGGCGTGTTGGGAAAGCCTGTACTCTCTGTCTCTCCTCTCTGTCTGTCTGTCTGTCTGTGTCTCTGTCTCTGTCTCTGTCTCTGTCTCTGTCTCTCTCTCTCTCTCTCTCTCTCTCTCTCTGTGTGTGTGTGTGTGTGTATAGACAGGCCCAGCTACTATCCCTGTGCCTTTTTAAAAAAAGATTTATTTATTATGTATACAGCATGTGTGACTGCAGGCCAGAAGAGGGCGCCAGATCTCATTACAGATGGTTGTGAGCCATCATGTGGTTGCTGGGAATTGAACTCAGGACCTCTGGAAGAGCAGTCAGTTCTCTTAACCTCTGAGCCATCTCTCCAGCCCCCATTTGTATGGCATCATTATTCCCAGACAACAGAAGATCTGGCTGCGTGAGATTTGAGTCAGGGCTGTGAATCCCGGATGGGGAAAGGCAGAGCATTTTCTACTCAGATGGGTGGGTTTGCCTTGCCAGCTGGGGTAGGCACCTGTGTCCTAGCTTCCTTGGCTGACGCCGTCTTTCTGGGCCCCAGGACTACTGTGGCCAGAACTCTACCGGCTCCTTCAGCATTATCACGGAGAACGTCCCCTGCGGCACCACAGGTGTTACCTGCTCCAAGGCCATAAAGATCTTCATAGGGGTGAGTGCTGCCGGTTCCCGGGACAGGAGATCTCTTCGGAACCCTTGGACACAGTCAGTGACCATCTTTTTCTCTGGATAGGGAACAGAGCTGAAGCTGGTGGATAAACATCGCGTCATAAAGCAGTTGGAGGAGGGCCACCATGTGCCCTTCATCACACGGGAAGTGGGCCTGTACCTGGTGGTGGAGGCCAGCTCTGGCATTATCGTTATCTGGGACAAGAGGACAACCATCTTCATCAAACTGGCCCCTTCTTACAAGGTGGGCCACCAAGATGCCAGCCATGTCCTGGGCTACCCCAAGCATAGACCCTGTGGATGTTGCTCTCACCTACCTCAAGAACTTCTCAAACTGGAGACTCGTTTTTCCTCCTGCAGGGTACTGTATGTGGTCTGTGTGGGAACTTTGATGACCAGACCAAAAATGACTTCACCACTCGGGACCACATGGTGGTGACCAGTGAGCTGGACTTTGGGAATAGTTGGAAGGAAGCTTCCACGTGCCCAGATGTGACCCACACTCCAGACCCCTGCAGCCTGAACCCACATCGTCGCTCCTGGGCAGAGAAGCAGTGTAGCATTATCAAGAGTGGTGTATTCAAAGGGTGTCACAGCAAGGTAGGATGGCTGCAGGCATGGGAGGGCCCCAAGGGTGAGCAGGGGCACAGGTATGGGTGGACCTTGGGCATGTGCAAACAAGTGTGGGCAGGGGCACAGATGTGTGCCAACTGTGGGCATGGACAAAGGGCTGAGTCCCACTGTAAGTGTGTTGTGGTTGTGGTCACGGCCATGGTTGGGGCCACTGAAAGAGATTGGTGAGCACGACTGTGGCCATGAGAGGGGTGTGGCCTATTAGTCTTGCTGTATTTGTTTTTCGGGCTCCTGGCCTCTCGGTGTAGGCTTAGGATACTTGGAGGTACGTTGCTGTACCACCATGGGGCATTTGTTCTTCAATTCTGTACACTTGGTAAGAAGTCGGTAATTAGATGATCAACTTTTCTCTCTGCGATTCCTGGGTAGACTCTGACCTCCTTTGCCCTGACTACATGCTCATCAGGGAGGGAGAGACATGACTTATTTTGTTAGTGCCTAGAAGATAGCAGGGGGAGGGCCAGTTTTAGGATTGTCATCTTGAGGCACTCAGGGGATAGGTGACAGATCTGTTGGCCAGGGTAGCCTGAAGGTGAGTGCCCTCCCTCCATCAGCTGCTCTGGGGCCCTGGGCCAGCTTCAGTGTCCTGCGTTCCAGGCTCTCTAAGGGCAGTGCGGGCCGAGGCACATTGAAGTCTTCTTCCTAGGTGGACCCCACGGTCTTCTATGAGGCCTGTGTGCATGACTCCTGCTCCTGTGACACGGGGGGTGACTGTGAGTGCTTCTGCTCTGCTGTGGCCTCCTACGCTCAGGAGTGCACCAAGGCAGAGGCCTGCGTGTTCTGGAGGACGCCGGACCTGTGCCGTGAGTACCCATGGCAGGCGGCATCTTCCTTCCCCTCCCGAGTCATGACTGAATGTCACTCATCCCATACTTGTCCCCAGGCATCCTCTCTTGGGGCAGAGTGAGATTCGCGTTGGTAGGAGCTGACTGGACCCGGTCTCGCTCACATCCCCGATGCTGGCTCACTTGGGTACCCCCTTGGATGTTCCCAAGCCTGACCGTGTCCCCATCCTCTCTCCCTCTAGCTGTATTCTGTGATTACTACAACCCCCCAGATGAGTGTGAATGGCACTACGAACCATGTGGGAACCGCACCTTTGAGACCTGTAGGACCATCAATGGCATCCACTCCAACATCTCTGTGTCCTACCTGGAGGGTGAGCCGGCAGGGCCCTTCAGGGAGGGAGTCGCCAAGGGGTAGGCCCCTGTCCGGCTGAGGGCTGCCATTAGCTGGAGACACATGGGGATGTTTGAGAGGTGCCCAAGGGCTAAGAGGCTTGGGAACAAGGTTCATTTCGCTGCAGTCTGTTCACTGAACTGGGTCCATGGCCCCCAGCTAAGGCCCTGACTCCTGAAGAGGTGGCAGAGGAGCACGCTAACTCATGGGTGGGAACCATGGAGCAGAACACCCTAATGGCAGGGGAGACACAAACCCTGTCTTCTGACTCTTGGTCTTCATAGATGAACATCTCCAAGCAAAACACCACATGGGGTGGGGCTGATGAGGAAGGTCTGGTGGAGCAAGGGATGTACAAGGGGTATACAGGGGGTGTCCTCTGTGGTGGTCTGAGTCCCATTTCCTATACCCACTAGGTTGCTACCCTCGGTGCCCTAAGGACAGGCCCATCTATGATGAGGACCTGAAGAGATGTGTGACTGAGGACAAGTGTGGCTGCTATATTGAGGACACTCGCTACCCACCCAATGCATCTGTTCCCACTGAGGAGATCTGCAAGTCTTGGTACTGAGCCTACATTGCACAGGGTCTGGGAAAGGTTGGCACACACACACACACACACACACACACACACACACACACACACACACACACCATGTTCAGACACATGGAAATGGGAAATGTGGTCACTCTGGTCAGGTGCATATGTACATGTAAGCACACATATATGGCTCATAGCCACACTCACATGCGTGCACAGCCCATTCAATGTGCTTACATACATGGACACAGCCACACCCAGTTGCACACCCAGTCACACTTGTACACATATCATAGGATCTAGGATACAGAGGTGCTAGTTCCTGTCCTTGGGGTTATGGAGGCCTTTTGATCTCACCCCATCCTCTTGGCCCGGCTTTTCTTAGCTTGCGTCACCTCATCTGGCTGGCCATATTTAGAACCCAATGGGTGGGGTTTCTTTGTAGCTTGTGTTTGGGGAAGTACTCTGGGGCTTTGGGTCAGAGCACAGGGAGATGGGCATGGGGTGTCTGTGAGCAGGGAAGTGTGGGGGGACCTGTAGCATCTATACTTGCTTTGCAGTATATGTACCAACACCTCAGAAATCATCTGCCATCCAGACGAAGGTAAGCTGCCCTCTGCTGGGGTCCTGGAGGTGGAGGGTTCGAGGTCCCAACCCAGGAAGCCTGTGGGCTGTGCTCTTCTTGTACATGGGACCTGGCCTCGGGTAGGGATTGGTTTCCTCCTGGGCTCTGTGTCTTGGTTGCCCAGGTCCTTTCCAGCCCCAACTTCTGAGCTGTGCATCAAGCCTGAGGGGCCCACACTACACATCTTTGTTTCCTTTCCCCAATGGGAGTGGTACCCTATGGGGAATTTCTAGTGCATCTCTCATCTGGGTTCTGGGCTCATCGCCTCTGGGTTTCAATGAGGCTCCTTCTTCAAAGCGAGAGGTTCTGGGGAGGCAGTCCTGCTGGAATGTATACCAGCTCTTCCCTTACCTGTGATTAATTGGGGAAGCCTTGAAAGTCTGTCTTTCTTGTTGATTTAATGGTCCCATACCCTCTGTGCAGGGAAGATTCTTAACCAGACCCAGGATGGTATCTTCTGCTACTGGGAGTTCTGCGGCCCCAATGGGACAGTGGAGAAACACTTCAATATTTGTGTCTCCTCCACGCCACCTCCATCCACCCTGACAAGCTTCACCACAGTCTCCACCCCTATCCCCATCTCCACCACCACCACCACCACCACAACCACCATCACTGCCACTACTGTCACTGCCACTACCACAGTCACGATGACCACTACTGAAGGTGAGGCTTATTCTGGGGATTTTTGTTTTCTTGAGAATCCAGCATGGTTTCTATTCTGGGAGCCAGAGCCAGGTCTGTGTATTCAGCCTCTATTCAGCAAACCAACTGGGAACTTAGGTGGCATTGACATTTCTCTGAACTCAGGACATTGGAGGAGGATGTCCTTACATTGCTCTGCATTTGTTCCAGTTCACACCATATCTATGATGAGTGAGCTGTCAGGGGTATGACAGACATAGGAGAGAACACCTGTAATTTTGGGGACCTGGGCTGGGCTTGGGGCTCAGTTGACAAAACACTTGCTTCACAAACATGGGGACATGGATTTGATCCCCAGAGCCCTTGTAAAAATGCAAGACTTGGGGGTGCACATTTGTAATCCCATTGTTGGGGACATGGGGAGAGCAGGATTCTTGGCACTCACTGGCAAGCCAGTATAATTTAATTGCCAAGTTCTAGGCCAGTGGGAGACCTTGTCTGAAAGGAAGTAGATGGCATTCTTGAGGATGACACTGGAGATTGTCCTCTGGCCTCTACATTCACATATACACATGTTCACATCTGCAAACACACGTACACACACAAACATGCACACACACAGATGTTCACACACACATACAATGCAGGCTAAGCATGGTGATGCTCACTTACAACCAGCACCTGGGAGGCAGAAGCAGGATGATTGCCATAAGTTTGAGGCCTATGGTCTATGTAGAGAGTTCCAGGCTGGCTAGGGCTGGGTAGCAAGACCATTTTTTTTTAAAATACTTAAACTGTGCAGTAATATCCTCCTTTTTTCATTGATTGAAGCTACATCCACAGTGCCTAGTAAGTGACATTACAATACTTTTCTATGATAGGTAGGGCCAAGAAGAGAAAAATTTTCCAAATCCCTCCCAGGCTTCCTTCAGAAGCAGAAGTGAGGGCAGGCTGCACTTATCTCCCTGTGGTTCACAGTAAGATTTGCTCACTGTTTGTCAAGTCCATGGACACAGAGGAGGGACCTGGCCTGTGTGGATGAGTGTGTTCTTGGTCAGGAATAGACAAAGCCCCTTTCACATTATTCCTAGGGAAGACCCCCTTGTTGGTCTTTTTCTCTCTCTCACAACATTGCCAAAGAAGGGGTACTGAGCTGGAGCTCTAAAACCAGGATGTGTCCCACCTGGACATGGCTTTGGATGGCCCCTTCTCTCTGGGCCACAGTCTTTCAGCTGCAAAAAGGTGGAAATGAGTCTATTCTGATCTCTGACCCTATAAACATGGTCCCTTGCTGATGATGAGGTGGGCAAGTGTATCTGTGGGGCGGCTGAGGAGGTCACTGAGGACTCAATCACCCTAGCCTCTCTCAAGCATGAATGGCTTATATGTAATTTTGCTTCCCTAGTACCATGCTGCTTCTGGTCTGACTGGATCAACAACAACAGTCCTAGCGATAGCAATGATGGTGGTGATCGAGAGACCTTCGACAGCGTCTGTAGTGCTCCTGAGGACATTCAATGCAGGTCAGCCACAGAGCCCAAACTCAGCTGGGAGGAGCTGGGCCAGAAGGTACAGTGTAATGCCTCAGTTGGGTTCATTTGCCATAATGAAGACCAGTATGGAAACGGAGACGGAGTATTTGGACGTTGTTATGACTATGAGATACGAGTCTACTGTTGCTATCCAAGGGAGTACTGTACAACTCCAACCACCTCACCTACAACTTCACCAACAACTCTATCTACCTCTTCCCCAACCACCTTACCTACAACTTCCCCACTCACTTCATCTACTACTTCACCAACATCCTCACCTATCACTTCAACAGTTTCACCAAGTACCTCAACTTCCACATCACCAACAAGCTTGCCTACTACTACATCAATCATTTCACCAACCACTTCCCCGACCACTACACCAACCATCTCATCTACCACTACACTGATGACTTCATTTACTACTTCACAACCATCTTCATCAACCACCTCTCCTAGCAGTTCACCAACCACCTCTGTAACAACTTCACCAACCACTTCACCAGGAACCTCAACCACCACATCACCAAGCACCATTTCATCAACCTTGCCTACCACATTCACCACCACACCAGTGCCCACTACATGCATTGAAGATTGCAAGTGGACAGGCTGGAAGGATTCTGGCAAACCCACCCATGATATAGAAAGTGGAGATTTTGAACTGATTGGAGATGCCTGTGAACCAGGCTGGAGAGTAGAAAACATCTCCTGCAGAGCTGTGATGTATTCCAACAAACCACTTGATCAGCTAGGACAGAAAGTGATTTGTGACAAAAATGTTGGGCTAGTGTGCAGAAATGCAGAACAGGAAATAGGAGGGCTCATACCAATGCGTGTGTGTCTCAACTATGAGATCAATGTTCAGTGCTGTAGTATAGGATGTACAACAACCACACAAACTTCAACCACCACTACAGTAACTTCTACCCCAACATCTACCAGCACAGTGACTCCAACCCCACCTTCTACCACCACAGAGACATCAACTGCAACATCTACCACACAGACCACAACACCAACACCCCACACAAGCACCTCAACTCCAACATCTACCACCACACAGACACCAATCACAACCCCCACTACCACAGTGACTCCTACACCAACTGCTACCACCACAGAGACTTCACCTGAAACATCTACCACCACACAGACCACAACACCAACACCCCACACAAGCACCTCCACCTCAATATCTACCACCACACAGAC